GGGGGGGGGGGAGAGAAAGGCCTGGGAAGTATAGAATCAATAAAGAAAGTGAACACAAAAATTTAAATCCCTTTTTAAATTTTCTGTTTCTGAAGCGACATCTACGTTTCCAATGGTCCGCCTGCAGGACATGTTTCCATATATATAAAAGAAATGCCACCAAAAGACTATGTTCCAATTTCCTCACATATTGTGGCTTGACTATATGAAAGATTCTTTACAACCATGTGATGGTATGCTCCTTCCTAGAGCCAGGCTATCTACTGTCATGATTTCCCTGGCATATTCCGAGGGCGGTTGGCGGGTGCTCTGGTGTGGTTTGCTTCTTCTTTCCTATATGTTTATTGCTCTCTTGTAACACCTCTAATATTCTGGCGCTCATATGACCTTATGCAGGTTGCGAGCGCCCTAAAACCTCGATTAAAATTAAAACTGACAAATTCCCTGACCTGTCATGATCTCCCTGACAGAGGACGAGTCCAAGAAGCCGTTCGGTGAGATGATCATGTACTTCGGCTGCCGGAACTCCACCCAGGACAATATCTACCGCTCAGACCTGGAGGAGATGAAGACTTCCGGTGTGTTGTCCGACTACCACGTGGCGCTGTCCAGGGAGATGAACATGCCCAAGGTTAGCCATTGTCTTACCTAGAGACTACCACATATCATTGTCTTACCTAGAGACTGCCACATATCATTGTCTTACCTAGAGACTACCACATATCATTGTCTTACCTAGAGACTACCACATATCATTGTCTTACCTAGAGACTACCACATATCATTGTCTTACCTAGTGACTACCACTTACCCAAGGTAGGCCATTGTCTTACCTAGTGACTACCACATTAATACCAGGGTAGGTCATTGTCTTACCTAGTGACTACCACATAGGTAGGTAATTGTCTTACCCAATAACTACCACATGCATCGACTTGCCTAGTGACTACCACGTGCATCGACTTGCCTAGTGACTACCACGTGCATCGACTTACCTAGTGACTACCACATGCCCAAGGTAGGTCATTGTCTTACCTAGTGACTACCACATGCCCAAGGTAGGTCATTGTCTTACCTAGTGACTACCACATGCCCAAGGTAGGTCATTGTCTTACCT